ATGATACATCAACACTATCAATTCCTTTAACAATCTTAAACACTTCAATCAGATTCCTTCTGACTTTTTTTTTTTTCAAGAGAAAACAGGTTCAGAGAACTTAACCTATCCTTGTATGACAACTCTTATATCTCAGGTATCATCCTAGTAGCCCTACTCCAAACCCTTTCAAACAATTATTAGTTCTTTCTAAGGGTAATGAGTCTAAGAATGTGGCCTAACCAATGACATTATAACCTCTTTAGACTTGTATTTGATATTTCTATAAATATAACCTAAAATCCTATTTGCTTTGCCACTAGCAAAAGCACACTGCTTGGATTGCTTTGGGGGACTGATTAACCAGGACACCAAGATTTGTTTCTTCCATAACATTGTTAAGACTATTCCCAAAGTTATACTCGTAATTCCAACTGTGATATCCCACATGCATTACAATGCTTATTTGTATTGCATTTCATGTAAAGCTAGACCAGAGGGAAGGCAGCTAATCAACATTACCCACTGTCAACTGTTGGGCTACCCTTTAACCAACAAACAGCAGGATTGACTGTCACATTATAGCACCTACACAACTGAAAGGACATGCATGTTTGATGACAAGATTTGAACCTGTGACCAATAGATTGACAGCTAGCGCAGATAGCCATCGAAATTCATAACAAACAAACAAACAATGACATAGATGAAGGAATGGACAATAAATTATTTAAATTTGCTAATGATATTAAAGTTTTATGTATTGCTGGTTCTGAGGAGGATGCTGCTGTTTTACAAAAGAATTTGGAATATTTGGTGAGTTGGGAAAATAAATCGCAGATGGCTTTTAATTATAATAAATTCAAGATAATGTGTGGCACCCTAATTTAGCAGTGTAAGACTAGAGGGAAGGCAGCTAGTCATCACCACCCACTGCCAAGTCTTGGGCTATACTTTCACCAACGAATAGTGGGATTGACCATTACATTATAACACCTCCACAATTGAAAGGACGTGCATGTTTGATGACAAGATTTGAACCTGTGACCAATAGATTGTGAGTCAAGTGTCCTAACCATGCCAGCCAAAGGGCGAGCGTGTTTACTGTGACGGGAATTCAAACTCGCAACCCGCAGATTGCGAGTCGAGCGTCCTAACCACCTGGTCATGCGGGGTCCTATGTCATAGAAGTAAATCAAAAGAGCAAAGATCCTAACATTGAGCCCTGAGGTACCTCACTTGTTACATAAATCCAGCTTCAAGGGTGGCATGCATAAGAGGCTTAGCTTCCCGAAATAAGTCATCCTTCATGGGGCATTATTCTTGTCAACTCAAAAATACTGTATAGTATTTGTAAAGAGAGAGACAGACAGAGAGATCGAAATAGGGTGTATGCGAGTCACTAAGAAGAACTTATCTACTTAGGAACATGAACAGATTCTTCCCACGTGTGCAACCCCACTCATGACAGAATAGTCTACCCAAACAAAAGACTCATTCGCCACCCATGTCCAGCTTGACTGAACTCCATTTATAACAATCCTCTACTTTCTTCCATATATCCAATGAGCCAATCTATCCTCCACACCTAGAGAGAGAAATTTTTAACAAGCCTTTTATGTGGCACCTTGTCAAATGCTTTTTGAAAATCTAAATATACTAAATCCACACCTGTATTCTCACTAACATAGGCAGTAATAACGTGTTCAATGTGTGTCAAAAAATTAGTAAGGCAAGGTTTTCCCCTACTGAAACCATGCTGACAATATCCTAAAATGATATAAGAGTATATCAAATAAATGATCTACTATTCACAAGTCTTTTTTTGGGGCATAAAATAATGTTCATTATGTTTGTTTGGAAAGCAATTAATTTGGGCATTTAATTTTCTGAGGTGTGAATTAAGCAAACCCAGTTCTTACTTCTAAAGGCTCCTTTGCCCTTTATTTTGATAAAAAAAGATAGTTATTTACCCAATGATTAACTGTTTTTTTACCTCATCTTGCTTGTATGAAAAGAGGAATAACTTTTAAAAGTACAAGTTGTCATTTTTTCTGTGGATTATACATTTAAAAACATTTGCCAGACTGCTTACAAATTTCTTGTCAAGATTGTTTTCCACATTGTGAAGGCTCCATAGGATACTCAGTTATAATGTGTGTCACAAATGTAGTTAAAAATGTCAGAAAAAAAAAATTCTTCTGTTGCTTGTTTTGTTTGTAATTAAGCACAAAGCTACACAATAGGCTATCTGTGCTCTGCCCACCACGGGTATCGAAACCCAGATTCTAGTGTTGCAAGTCCGAAGACATACCGCTGTGCCACTGGGGGGGCCTCTTCTATTGCATCTGATTGTTTAAACATATATATTTTAAACTTCACAGGTGAAGTTTTTGGAAGCATATTTTTCAAGGTATTATATGTTTTCAGTCACTCTCTATCTCTCTCCCTCTCAATAAAGAGCATAACTGAAGAAAGAGCAACATAACACATTCGAATTTCTTGCATATGAATAGTAAATCCCAAAAATGTGAGGTAATGAATATGATTGGTACCACCAGAAGTACCATCACTATATAATATCTAAGTTTGTTTGTTTTTAATTTCATGCACAATTACTCAGCGACTACCTGTGTTAACTGTCCCTAACTTAGAAATAATAGACTAAAGGGAAGACAGCTAGACAATGTCATCCACCGCCAACTCTTGGGTTACTCTTTTACCAATAAAAAGGTGGGATTGACTGCCACATTATAATGTTCCCACAGCTGAAAGAGTAAGCATGATCAGTAACAAGACTAGAATTCATAATCCACATATTGCAAGTTAAGCACTTGAACCACTCATATTGATATGTTTGTGAAAGGTAAAAAGAAAACAAAAAGTGTAGTATGGATTCCATTAGCATATTACTTCATAAAGCCAGCGAGAGTAAATCCATTAAACAGATACAATACAAACCCACCAAGAGTAAAGGAGCCACAAAACAAATATAAAGAAGTCCTCTATTGGACCACTGGTAAGTTTACAGACATGCAAGCTAAAATCCAGGTTTCAAGTCCCTGTGGTGAACAGAACACAGACAGGCAATTGTACAGCTTTAAGTGAAAAAAACAACAGCATAAAGGCATATCAACTTGAAAAGGGTTAGTTTCATATTTATTTAGCTTTATAGTTTGTTGTGAATTTCATTTTTTGACAGGCCTACACGAGATTATTGCTAGCTCTGTTCGTAACTTGTAGATCTTTAATTTCTATAGATTAAAAAATTTCCAAGACTTAGCAACATGAAGTTATCTATTTACTTTCTGGGAGACAAACTCAAGATATTTTATAAAACAAAAGACTAGCACTTGTTGAAGGAAATACTTACTTAGAATTCACAAATGTTTGATAAGGCAAGTCTGAAATAGCTTGGAAAAACAACCTAAACCTGCAGACAAAGCATTTTGCATATAGCTAAGAGAGATGTTCAATAGGAATGCTTGAAAATGTTTGGTACACAAGCATAAAAAAAACAACAAAATATGCATTATGCTTTACTTTTTAATACATTCTTGTATTTCCTGATGAAGGTATTAAAAACAAAGAAAGTAATTAATTAAAAACTCATTGTCCTCACTTCTCTACGGCTAACATCTGTTGTTTCTGATGTTGATAATGATACATCTGTGCACTATGGGCAAGCTTACGGTCTCCATTTGGGGAGGTTTTCTCTTTGTTACTTGGGCCTGTCACTCCATATGCTGGATATTCTATATCAGCTGCTGCCTGGTTTTTCTTCTGAAACCTGAATGGAAAACCCACCAAAAATATACTTTTATTTCAAATAGGTGGTTAAGTAGAACTTTTATAAACCGAGTTATCTGAATGCGAGATCTGCAAATTTCAGTTTTCACTGCAATATATAAAAGTAATTACAAAATTGACATTTTCAACAGACTGATTCATTTGAATATTTACCAAACACAATTATGTTACATGTTTTAACTTACTCTTAATCATATTTTTCAAGTGATATAATAAAACTGTGGTATATGGATATGTCTTGTAGTTCCATCTTTTTGTGGTATTATAATATATATTCTGAATTTAGTCTTTGTTCTGAATATGCACAGGTTTCAAGTAAAACCGTTAAGTTGATATTGTTTCAAGTTACATTTGTTCCCTTATTGTTCTTGAAGTAGGTAATACCTGTTACCAACCAGGGAGAACATTGCTTAATACAATTTTGCATAAGAATGCTGACAGCAGTGCCCTTGTGGTTTTTCAAGTATAATCTAAAGGTTATGGTGACAAAAGACATCCATGTACCTCAGGTAAGAGTATGCAACAACAATCAAGAAGGATCTGTCTAAAAACAAGGTTACAAGTTCACCAAGATATGACTTTTAGTCATTATTCCTGTTCAACTGTTACATACCTCAAGCACCTGGAGAATGGAATGGGTATTCATGCAATTCCATATAGGCATATACCGGTCAATTTGCCAAATGTAGCACCTATGGATTTCTGTGCAATCAGACTGTTGACATGCACTGGGAACAGTTTTTCTCACACTCTAGATGGATTATGAAAAGCACACAAGTAGGTGTGCTTTGCTTTAGATATGCCTTTTGGAATGAAAACTACAGTGCATCGCTGTTGTCAAGATGAACAGTCATCAAATGTAACAGTCATGACCAAACAACTCCAATGTGGTTGAAGTAATGT